TGAGCTGCTGTTTGCCTTGGCCGAAAATGAGAGAGTGAGAGAGAGTGGAGATTGTGAATACTTGGGGGGTTACAAAATGGGGTGTGAAGGGAGAGGAAATGATGGGGTTTTAATGGTGGATTAAGGAGACTATTAATTGGAAATGATGGGGGTGTTGAAGGAGCCGAACCAAGGGTCTAGGGAGGTTACAAAAACTTATTTACTCCGTATTGTAAAAATCTGACCTGAACGGCTTGCGCTTTTTCCCCCAAACGGGTCCGAATTGAAATCCGTTTGCGTTTCTGGAATCAGACAGTCAAGACGAATTTAATGATATGATCAAATAAATTTTCTAAGAACTTTTCATTTATCCAACCCCGATCCGGAACAGTAATTAATTAATTAAATTAATCAATTCTATTAGACCGGGTTGCAGGGCGTTACACGAACCGTTTACAATGAAGATTTAACGGCTATCTTCTACCGTTCCCCCAAGGATATCAAAGGCTATCCTTGAACCTTTACCCAAGGATTTATACGGCTATCCTCGACCGATACAATATGAGAATTTAACGGCTATTCTCGACCGTATAAAGAAGTGTTTGAAAAACACAAAAGAGGATTCTACACAACGACTAGAATATAAAAATGAAGAACAAAACTTAGCCGGTGTAGAAAGAAAGTATACTCTCTCAAAAATACAATTCAAACTTATGAATATGAGAGTATATAACTAGAAACACAAGCTCAAAGTGTGTGTATAAAAATCAGAAATTTAAGGCTCTTAAAATAGCCAAAATATTGAAAATAATTAATAGAAGGATGAACACACTTGGAATAAAAAGAGAGGATGTTTAGAGCTTTGTTTCTTGAAAAAATATGAAGGATTAGGCTTGTATTTATAGTGGAAGATGTTAATTAGCCGTTGGGAGGTGATTAGGGTTGATTTAATTTAAATTGGCAATTTTGCTACAGTGCTGTAACGGATCCGGTACCCTTCACGGTAGGGGGGTCCGTGTCATCCGGTACCTAGGTACCGTGACACGGTACGGCCTACCGTGTGGGAGTACCGTGTCTTCCAAAAGTTCAGTTCACCTCTGGCGGTACCTGGTTAGGACGGGTTCGGCCAACCGTCTACGCCTACCGTCGGTACCTAGGTACCATTACACGGTATGGGGGTACCGTGTAAGCGGTATATCCTACCGTGTGGCGTACCGCTAGGGGTACCGTGACTCTGTTCTAATTTTTCCAAAATTCCCTTAATCCTTCGTGTTTGAGTTTAAAACCTTTTAGATATTTGAAAATGTTTATGTGATGGTTTTAAACATATTTTGTGAGTGCTTTTGAGCTTGTGAATATAGGTATATAAAGTCATATCCTTACATTGGTTTCTACCTATATTCTACGCTAGTTTTAGTGTTTCGACTTCATTCTTGAGTACTGAATCTTAATGGATTCTTGTTTTCCTGAAACACTTAAACAAACGTTAAGCTCTTATATTGTTTGTTAACATCAAAACATGAGACTTAGCAAACCAAGGCTAACAAATAGTATTATTAGTAGCATTATCAAAACCAAATGCAAACACTTTATCAAGTATTTGTATTCTTGGAGAATACGCTCAAACAAAAGAAAAATATTATCACCAGTGTGAGATTCATTGAAATCGCAAAATGCGAGAACACGTTTATGCATAATCCAATCACTATCTATCCAATGACAAGTAACACTCATATAAGACAAATTATGATATATTTCACTCTAAATATCAGAATAAATAGTAACACGAGAATTAAAAGTGAGAAAAAATTTTGCCAAATTATTTTTTTCCAACTTTACTTTGTCTAATAATTTCTCTCCTAATTGTTTTTCTTGAAAAACCTCTTGCTTGAGGGTTTAGTGCAGTTTGACAACAATCAATAAATCCAAGTTTTTAACAAAACATGTATGGTAAGTTTTCCTCACAAATCATTTCGGCTATTTTTTGCTTATTTTTCTCATCGCTATAAGTAAAAAGGCCACCCTTACACTTGTTTGCAAATCGAGAAATTTGGGTCTGCGCTTGTCCCTTCTTCGCCATGTATTTAGCGTACTCCACGGGGTGCCTCGCTTTGAGGTGTTTTGTCCACCATAACCCCCCGAAAATTCCCATTGTTATGACTTCCCCAAAATGAAGACAAGTTCCAAAAACTTTGCTATTTTTTATATCTTTACAAAAATGGTGTACAAATAAATCAAATTTAGGTTTTTTACTATCCCCGGACCTTCAGAGGTCTCGGGCTCACCTCTCAACTCGTCACCGTCGTCGGTAGGATCATTGCTCTCGGGTGTTGGTTCCACCTCCTCTTCAACGTCCTCAAATAAATCATCAAGAGTTTAAAGATTGGCGACATTCCTATCTATCAAATACTGGTTGAATTCTTGATCAGTCATAGCGTCGTCCATGAATTGATGGGGGAAGTAGGAAAGAAAGAGACAGAGTGTCTTCCTTGAGAAGCACGTGAGCTCAAACCTTTGGAGGTGGCCATAGCTTTGCCTTTCTTAGCACATCCTCCGTTCCAAACGTCCATATCTACGGACCTTCTACCAGACTCTCTCGATATTTTAATATATTTTTTATTGATAGAAAAATGGTTTATATTAGAAATTTAGAATATTATAATATGATAAATTTATAATATTAATACAACAACAACAACCCAGTTGAATCCCACTACAGTAGGGTCTGGAGAGGGTGTGTGTACGCAGACCTTGCCTCTACTCGGAAGTAGGGAGGCTGTTTCCAAGATATTATAATATTAATAATATAATCTATTGGAATTTCGAAATATATTATAATATCAATATATAATAATATAATATATTAGTAATATATGATTATATATTCATATTATGTAATGTATATATAAATATAAAATGTATAAGTATAAATTATAAAAGAGAAAATTTAGTAAAGATTAAGAGAGATTAAGATTTAAGAGAGAGAGATTCATGAGTGAATAAGTGAATTAAAAAAATGGGAGAGTATTTATGGGTAAAAAATACCCCCACCCCCCTCCAAACGACTATAGAGCCGTTGGAGCCGCTCCCCACGGCCTACCACCTGCATCAATTTATCAGCAAGCCAAAAAAATATCCAAACTAGACCGGTACCGATACGCCAATGCCAGTCATAAAAACTGCACACCGGACCCGATACCGTGGGCAGCAGTTCCGGTACCGGTCTGGTGAACCGTGAAGACGTCTCCGTCGCCGGTATCGATTTCGTACGGGGACCATGTCCCGCCCTTACCCACCTCTCTCTTACACTCCCTTTCCTCAAGCACATCTTTTATTCTTGTGTGGAAAATAGTATGTCAGTGGGTATTGCGCTGTTGAAAAAAGTAAAGAGGGTCAAGAAGATAGAACCTGAGTTTGGTTTCTGATAACTGCACTGAGAGGCAATTATACGAAGCATAAGGTCTCTGTACCATATTTAGGCTCTCCACTCTTTATTACCAACATTAACCTCATGTATATTTAGTTAAATGGAGGATTTTAAATTTCATAATTAGATGGTAAAGTTTTGGCTAGGTTCTGTGGCCACTGGGTTCTAGTGGCCACGGAAGCCACTGCCCTCCTACGATGCTCCAAGTTGATGATTCTTACCCCCCAAACCCCCTGATAAACCCCCCGTCTAGTTCCGACCCCAACTCACCTCCCACATACGTCAATTGCACCCCGTAAGTATAATTGACTTTAAAGTCTAAACTTTTGACTTCTAAGTCAAATAAAATTACGGGGTACAATTGACGTGGGTAGGGGGCAGAGTTAGGGTCGAGATTGGCAGGAGGTTTACCAGGGGTTAAGTAGAGTAGGAATCATCAATTTTATGAATGAAGCAACTTAGATGTCCGTAGAGGAACAATGGCTTCCGTAGGGAATCCAGTGGTCATGGAACCGGGCAGTAAAATTTAGACCCAAGTGAATCTTTCTCATACTCTTCACAAATTTTCTCAAAGCACATGTTGATAAAACACAAAAGAATAAGTAAAAGCTCTTTAAAGCAACAACAAATCCATCAATCTCGTATAAACAATTAGAACAAAATATTGCCATTATAATTTCAAATTTATAATTTACATATCCTCGTGGATATTGAGATATACTATGTGATAAATAAAAAAAAGGCATATTAATGGGAAATTCTTAGATGGTAAAATTTCACCTTTCAAGTTTGAACCCTAATTTCAAGCGGGCCTTCCAATCCCTAAGCTATGTTTGGTTGTGAAACTCAATTGTGTTAAACCATGTGGTATGATTAAACCCAGCGCTATTGTTAATCAAAAAGTTTAACTTCTAATCTCAGCGTTTAATGAACCCAACAATACTTTAATGAAACAATCATTTTTTAGTTTAATTTTTTAATATATATTTGTTCATCATAGTAACAAAAATAATAAGAGTAAATTACATAAAGTCTTTTATGACAGGGAGATTTTCATTTATAAGCACTAATTCTAATATATTGTGTTCGTGATCTATTTTTGAAAATCATTCCTGAATAGATCTTTTGACTTAAATAATACTCCGTATATTTCACTTAATCTATATAAAAATCACCTTAAATAGGACTAAAACATAAAAAATTACCAAAATAAGACTTTCATATTTTTTTTTCAAAATAGAATTTTACACTGTGGTAACTATACATGTGCACATTATTATACTTTTTAGTAATGTAAATAACCATGTTTAGTAATGTAAATACATTTTAAATCTTATTATAGGAATAAAAACATAAAAATCTTATTTTAGTTTATTTTCAAAATTTTAGTCCTACTTTGATCTTTCTCCTTAATCCATAAAAGCATACTCCATAAAAGACTGATCATGGAACAAATTTTAAATATCAAGGATCACAAATTTAATATCTTAAAGTTGAAGATTGTTGTTGTTGTTGTTGTTGTTGTTATTATTATTATTATGCCTACAGGAAAATCTACCAACAATGAATTTTAGGTATCAATTACAGTGAAAGCAAAGCACAAAGTTGAACAATCTTTCTTAAACGACAAGGCATTACTAGGGAATGGAAAGGCATATCGCAGAATACAAAGAAAGAAGGTAAATACTCCTTTTATCAAACCACAGAATGATAATAGGATCTCCAGCACCAAGAACAAATATGGTGACTTTCATGCTAGTGGACGCCAGCTCAAAAACCATGAATTTTGATGAATTCCTTCTTCACAATTCCAGCCTGCTTCCAAGTATCAACCAATCATATTAAATAGGAAATAAACTAAAAACCAAAACCGTAAATAAAGACATGAATGAAGAAGCATTGATCAAAGCTCCTCCTATGATATGCAGTTATGCGTACTAGTCATAAAGACCTGAAAAATATGATGAGCCTTATTTCCTTGCATATTCTACAATAAGTCATGGAAAGTTGAAGAAAAATATGTACTTTAAAAAAAACAATTAGGACGATGTTTGGTTCCAGGAATTCAAAAGGGAAAAGAAAAGAAAATGAAGTGCAAAAGAGTTTTGAAGACAAAATGTACTAAAAGGGGGGGAAACTAAATTCCTCTCATTTTTCTATTCCTTCCAAATTCCTTGAACCAAACATAGTGTAGGTGTAGCAATGGAAAAAAACATGGGGTATATACACCCTATTTGAGCATTCATGGAATCAATACAAATTCAAATCAAAATTGATATGTTCAGATTTAGGTACTAATCAGATTCATTGGCAACATGCCACCAAAAGAAAAAAGCACTACTTAAAACTCAAACTGTGAATTACGGAGTAAGATTTTACTCGTAATGTTTTCAATTGTTAAATATAATAGTGAGATTTAATTCACTGCTTCCAATTCTTAAAACCGAACATGATAAATCAGTGGCATTGCTAGTGAAAGTTAAATAACAGTATGTTATGTTGGTAACGAAAAAGGCATACACAAACAATTGAACATTACTAATAGTGAATGGTGCAAGTGAACTAATAGGTTGTGAATAATGATGCTTGACGCTGAACACTGTCATTACTTAGTTCATAGAACATTTTTTTTAATAAAAGGCAGTAATACACTATAAATAGGGTAGTAATGTTCAATTGTTTGTGTATGCCTTTTTCGTTACCAACATAACATACTGTTATTTAACTAATAGTGAATGGTGCAAGTGAACTAATAGGTTGTGAATAATGATGCTTGACGCTGAACACTGTCATTACTTAGTTCATAGAACATTTTTTTTAATAAAAGGCAGTAATACACTATAAATAGGGAATTACCTGCACGAGGAAGGTCGATACATTCTTCCGCTGGTCACCTTGAAGCTGAATAACCTAAAAATATCAAATTTTACTTAAATTAAATTGTTGCAAATATTTATTAAAAAAATTGTTGCAAATAAGAATGAAGTATTAATTAAAGATCAAACTTGTTACGACGGAAGGAACGGTTAGTGTGAACCTGGCCTAATTCAGGGTCCTGAACGACAGTTCCATTGCAGCAAAACTCTTTCTTGAGGTCCTTCAGAATTTTATTATAGCTGAACTCTTTCTTCACTCCCTGCACAGTTGTCAAGCTTTTCCTACCATTTCGTTGCTGAATACGGATGTGCACATACTCTGTTGTTCCACCCGAACTATCAACATTTGCATCAGCAAATAAATCTGAACATGATAGAAAAGCACCAGTGCGTGGCGTGTTTAAAATAATACATGTATCAACTATTCCTCGACTTTGCAAATTCAACAACAGCAACTAAGGTTTGAAAAAAAACTTGTACCACCAAATTCGGAGAGCAATTGGATATGAAACAAAAGTAAAGAAGATGGTACCAAGAGTTTCAGGAGTCGCAAGATCAAGTCCAGACATGAAACTTGGTCGATAATGTGAAGGAGACGCGGCTACAATTAAATCTGCTTGAGAAGACGTGGCCACAAATCAATCTGCTTGAGCTAGTATTCTATCCAAAGACCTGGAAGAAAGATTTCTCTAGAAGAATCAGTATTTATAGGCAAATACAGGCCACTATAAATTAATTCAACAAGACAAAAAAAGCAAATCAAAAGCAGTATCCATGTATTATAAGCACACACACACATACGAGAAGAAATTTGAAAAATTTGATGAATCTATATATTAATTCTTCACTTTTACAAAGCACGCATGCAGCAATTGGGCCCTAATAACCAAAGCCAGAAAGAATCCCAATTTAAATGAAATCATCCGTAACCAAAGCCAGAAAGAATCCCAATTTAAATGAAATCATCCGTATAATTGATTAAGGAATTGCGCTCCCCTCCGCCACATAACAATTTTAAAAACGAAACAAAACAAAGGCTGAAACATAGACTTGACTATATTCCATCTCTGAAACTGAATCTACATCTCAATTACAGAAATTAAACCAAACCAAAGCCGCAAACTAAAATCGAGAAAATTACCCAGACCAAAGATTCATTAATACCGCAGAAATATTTAATATTATGCCCGACAAATTAGTAAAATACAATAGATCCCGAAACGAATTTCGAGACTTGAAAAGAGAGAAAGGGTGGAAAAGCATGGATCCGGGAAGATCCACATCCATAAACCAGGCAGTACCTGATCGGGAGAGGGTGGGGGAGAGCGAGGAAGAACGGTGGAGGGATCCAGATAAGTTCGGACTTCGGAGTCGAGGTGGTCTTTGCTATTTATTAAGGAGTACTTTCTAAATACTATCTTTCCCACTTCTTCCCAATATATTTGTCCAGTTTGGCTTTTTCAAATCAAATTGGACAAATTTTAAACTCTAATTACTTTCAATTTATATTGCATATTAGCATAATGAAATACAATTTTGAAAGTTCTCAATACGATAAATCTAATAAAGTCATTTTTATATTAAAAGACATTACGGCTTTTATTTAATTGAAACTCAAAGTTTGTCCAGTTTATCTCGAAAAAATCAAATTGGACAAATATACAGGGACGGAGGGAGTATTTGTCTATTTTTTATTTTTTTCGATCAAAATTAACAAGTTTTGACTACAAATTTTAAAAAAGAGATATTCGATATTAATGCAAAAATAATTTTATTACATTCATTTTATAAAATATTTTTAAAATAATATTTTATTTAATGAATATATAATATATAATTTATTTTATTATAGTTCAAAGGTGGAAAATGGTTGACTGTAAAAAGTCAAAAATGGACAAGTACTTATGGACGGAAGTAGTACTCCGTAGTTTGTACTTGTGGACCCTCTCTAATAATTGTCTTACTCCCCCCATCTCTTCTAAATCTTTTCGTTTTTAGTTTTGAATCGTTCTTCCGATATCTTTCCATTTCCCTAACTTAATAACTTCCTCCACTCTAAATGACTATTTTATCCTTCACGTTTACTTCACCCAATCCATCCCAATTACTATCCCACCCGCCCATCTATCTCTCAACCCCCCCTCATTTACTACAGATTACTCAATTTGTCTACCATTCGATACACACTCTGCGCTTCCCACTATCGCCTGTCACTCATCCCTCATCTTCTCCGTCTTCTCCCTCACTACAATTCAGACTTAGGGGTGTTTGTTTTTTGGCCAGAAGAGCTTCTGGCCTCTTTTGTCTGCGCCACATAGACGCGCGCAGATGCTGAGCTGTGCAGATTGTTTGTTTTTTGGAAGACATTTCACTCAAAAAGGTCTTCCTGACATCTTCTTGGAGAAGACATTAACCTATGTCTTCTAACATCTTCTTACATCTTCTCCATTTTTTTCTTCTACTTCTCTTCACCACCACCACCGTCCACCACCATCACCACTGTCCACCATCACC